AAATGGAATGTAACCTTTAAAGTTGTATTGACATTTTTTTAAATTAAAAAATATAGATCAGTTAAGATGACCAGGATGAACCTTCCTCTCCCAAACCACCAAAAGACGGGAAGAAAAAGAAAGAAAAAGTAACTGTTGTTAGTGAAACATTTGGCAGTATTTACTAAAGCTGAACATTTCACATACCATGTGGCCCCCAAAGTCTACTCCTAGCTGTATACCCAGAAGTAATTAATTTTAATTTTTACCAAAGGCACATACAAGGTTCATAGCAGTATTGCTTATAATAGTCCCAAACTGGAAAATATGCCAGCAGCTACCAAAAGTAAAATAGGTAAATAAACCATGACGTGCTTATGTAGTGGTATACAACACAGCAATGAGAATGAATGAGCTACAAGGACTCATAAAATTATAAATAAATTTCACAAACACAAATTGAGTAAAGGAAGCCATACACAAGAAAGTGCATACTTTAGCATTCTGTTTATATTAGGTTTATAAACAGGAAGAACTAATCAAGGATGAACGAAGTCAGAAAGCTTTTGTTCTTGGAGGGTTAGTGACTAGGGATCATAGGATGTTGATATTGTTCTGTTTGGTTAAGGTGTGTTTACTTTGTGAAAAATCCCATCAGGATGTACACTTATGACTTGTACACTTTTCTGTATGTATGTCATATTTCATAGAAGTTAAAACAATCTGGGTTTGGTGAGATTTGATTTTAACCCTTCCAGATTCCCTGAATTCACCCTGATTCCCACAGAAGGCATCTTCATGTTAAATCCATTTTTACTCTGTTTATCAATAAGAGAGATAAGCTAAATGAACTCACTCAGTATTATTTAACATATTACACCTCTCACACATATGTATTTAAATTTTAAAAAGAGAACTTCCAAGAAAGAACAATGTCAAACACAAAAGTGTGAATCATAAAAGTTGGCTTTCATTAATCACTTAGGAAGATAATTTCAAGTGAAAATCTTTTGACTTTCCTTGTTATAGCACGTATGAGAAGACATAGTCTCGTTACACATAAATCTGGATCACAAAAGTCAAAGTTAACAGTAAGAAACAGGGAAGGAAAGATATTGAGGTCAGAGAGAAAGCTAAGAGTATCTATGCTCAATCTATAACAAACATCTCTTGAACTTTTAGTTTGTATCAAGCACTGAAATATACTGGGGTTTCAATAGACAAAACAATGTACTCTCATAGAAGTTTACAATCTGGTAGTAAGCAGAATTCATTTTTAAAACAGGGAAAGTACTAATGTAATTATAGGAGATACACAAGTTTACACACTTCTGTCACTTTCTGACTGTGTGAAGTTCAGCAAGTTATTTAACCTCTGTGCTTATGTTTCCTCCTATATAAAAAGGAATTAATTGCACCTACCTCATAGAAATGTCATGAAGATGAAATGAGTTAATATTCATAAAGTGTTTAAAACAAGGCTTGGCACATTGACATTTACAGAGAACATTTAATCAGTCTAAAATATATAGTTTAACATTTTGGAAATTGGGCTCTTAGAATCAGTGGTGTCTTATACTCACTTACCTAAGGTGTGAGAGTTGGCATTGTTTTGGACCTGGCTGTCTATTTTTGTGGCTTGATTTCATGTCCATTTGAGGAAGAAATAAAAGTTTTGATTGTATCAGAAAACCTTAATTTGAAACCTTCTGGTGACATCAGTAAAGTGCCTATGCAAATCTTCCAATGAAGGAGAAACTTGGAGCAAACTTGTAGAAGAAAGCCAGTGATTTGGAGTTTGGAGCAAAATTTTATGAAGCACTGCACCCCCAATGCTTCTGATGCCTTAAAAGAGAATTGACCAATATCACATGGATATTGACATCTCCGAATTGAAAAGGAATTACAAGTTGAATTCTGAATGTGAGTATTTTAGGAATATCTTTATTTCATTTCAAAAAAATTTTTATATATGCACGAGAGGAATATATGGTAAAAAATAGGTCTATTTCTGAAAGAGCTCTTTCAATAAAAGAAAAATAAAAATTCTGAATCCTATGAAACATTGTGTCATAGTTTAATTAGCATCATATTTTCCTTTCAAGTGATTCCACATAAAATAAGATGTATCTTACCATCAGCAGTGTCTTAGTTTCAATGAAATATGGTAGGTATTTGTTAAATAAATGAAATATTGGGATGAGAACATAAAAGGGAAAATGGACCTTCTTAAGGATGAATTAGTCTTTGAGATAAGATCTGAAGAAGGGGTAGGTGTTGAGGGGGTGGACAGGAGGAAGAGTGTCCTAGGCAGAGGGAACAGTATGTGCAAAGATACTATGGCCAGAGGGAACATGGCACTCAGAAAGGATTAACTAAGAAGACAGTGGTCACATCACAACCCCATTTCAACCCATTTTCAAGATTTAGTTTCCTTTCAGTTGAAAGCAGGCTCTTCCTTTACGCATATTGAAAATATATCCAATTTCCAGAACTCTGATCCTGGTTTGGAAATTAATATCTTTCCTTTGTGTCACATCTCATTTTTATTTTTAATTGAAAGGGGAAATCTACACTCGTTGACAAGAAAGATAATTTAGCTATTTTAATGTCTGAACATGAGAGTTTATTCTATGATTTTGTAATGATAGCTTTTACAAAATTGAATAAATATTACTTGATTATGACAAATAATGTAATGAATCCAACTACAAAATAAGAAAACTGATTGAGTCACTGTACAACACAAGTTAAATCATAATGAAATAATTTGAGTTTAATTTGAGTGTAATAACCCATTTCATCTTTATATTTTTTCTTTCTTTTTAATATAGTAAGCTAATTACCTTTTTAAAACCTTTACATAATAACATTTATAAGGGCTAGAAAAGTATTCTTCTCTATGAACTCCAAAACCACTTATGATAGAAATATATATTTAGAAGAAATAAAATAAATTGTGGATGAGGAATTATTTTAATGTGTTTCACTGTAATGTTAAAAAGGGTAGTGTTTATTCTTTCTATTTTCAGATTTCTGAGCCATCATTTTAATAATTTTTATTTTAATAATTTTTAATCTTATGTTCTTCCTTTTTCCTTCTTAATTTCTCTAGTGATTTCAAAAGTAAATAGCTTATTTTAATTATCCTAGACTTTTCATTTGCAATTTTAAAACACAGATCAGTCTCCAATTATATTATCACAAGTTACAGTAGTGGTTGATTTCTCCTTGTTATAAGATGAGGACATTTTATTATATTTCACTGCTGCCTTTCTAACTTTTGAATTTTGGTTCATATTAACTAGTATTTTCACCCAGATTACTTTTTTCCACTGGTAAAATTTTTTCCCCAGAACTACTTTACCTTTATCATAAAGTTCTATTAGAATTCCCATTACAAACTTGACCTTCTTCAGTCTTTTGACTTTTCAAACAAACAAAACATAAAGATGATAACAGATAATGCATAACTAGACTACCAAGCATTTTCTAATTTTTTGCAGTATTCCCTGGTGAAAAAAATGACTACTTATTTCAAACCATTTGTCTTTATCATGTTTTCCATTATCTTGTTCCAGATCTGATTAACCTGTTGGTACTGCTCATAGAGGCCTTTGGGATTTATTTGTGGTACTTTTTAGTAAAACACAAGAAAAGATAGCAAAAGGAGTAAATAACAATTGATAGTTTTGATGTCAACAAGAATTTAAATCACAGACTACATTTTGTTTTAATAACATATTTTATCATGGAAAAGATCAACTTCAAGAAAGTTGGTCAGGCAGGTTTTGTCCTAAATAACTTCAGTAATTAAAATAAATCAAAAATTTGTAGATGTAATGTCATCATCCTGCCAATTGGCAAGTCTCACCAAAAAGAAATCTGAACTTGAGGACATTCAATGAAGTTTTGGTTCCATGAGCCCTCGTCACTTCACTAGTGTTGCTGTAATATTTCCTATGTTGAATATAGATTCACTTTATACCAATCTCACTTAAGAAAGATCAACTATGTTCTTTTTGGCTTTCTTTCTGTCACCTTTAATAAGGTGCTTTTTCTTAACTAACCAATATGGAACTATCCTAATAGCCAAAGGCCCCTGATTACTCTTATTAATTTTATTTCAGAGAATGTATTTTCCTCTTCAAGAATAATTTTTAACACTTAATTTTTATTTTAGAATTATATTTGCTTTGGAATTACATCCTTTTATAGCCCAACCTTCCTATTCTTTATTTTGGTTTATTTCTGGTTCAACTGCAATGTGCTTTTCATCAACTTTTTTCATTGAGTAACATAGTGACAAACTTTCTAAGCTCATATATTGATAAGGTTACCTTTCAATTAATGTCTCATGTGATTGAAAACTTAGAGTACACAATTTTGAGGCACACCATTTTCTTCACCAACAATTGTGTAGACATTGCCAAATCTTCTGGAGTTTTGTTTAGAGGAGGCATTTGAGGCCAATTTGATCTGTGATTTCCATTAAGGCAAATTTTCATTTCATTCTGGTGTCTATAGGATGTTTTTCTATGCATTAAATTAAAAATATTTAACCAGGGTAACCCTTCTCCAGGATTGTAAAAAGTTAGGTTAACTCAAGAGCTCTGTGTGCTGTACTGTTTATTTATATCATTAATCTATGACACTGAAATATAGCTACCCTCTTACTAGTCTCCCTGCCTTGCTAAGCTTTATCTCCTGAGCCACAATGACAGTGTCATTCTTGTGCTGTATCTCAAGTATGCTGCAGAGTACTTGATACAACATAGCTCTGAATAAATATTTGTTAAGGGCATGAGTAAGCAAGTGCCTGAAATCCCCCTTCAAATTCCAGAAAACTACAAAATTCCTCTAACTTAACTTCAGTGCAAGTCAACAGATAAACATAAGTAGGAATGAGAATTAAATTAAAATTTTTTTAATTTGAGAAAAATTAAAATACTGTGACAACACTAAAATATTGTGCCAAATAACACATTGAATATCAACTATTATAATTGAATTCCATTTACCTGTGTTGCATCTGTTGATTCTTTCATGGATGTTAACTTCATTATGTGGCTGGCGATTTTTGATGGTATGATTATTTCCAGAGGGCATTGTCTTCCCTGGGAGTACCCTGTTTTTTAGATGTAAGCATACACATGATTTTTAAGTTTGCCTCTGAGAGGGGCAAATTTTACTCTCAAAACACTGAGAATAAAAATTCTAACCTCCTAGCTGTATGTGGGCGGACTTGGGTTCCAATTTCTCCCAGGTCACTCTCTGCCTCCCCAGAGCCGTGGGCAGATGGAAAATTTCCATGCCATATTTCAGGAGAATAAGCAGAGTATGCCTCCTGCTTCTTGAGTTTATATGGAGGCTTCATGCCTTTCAAGACATGAAGGGCCTCTTCTTGCAACCTTATCTGGGCATCAAAATCCATGATCCAACCCCAAAAAATTTAAATCTATGTTGGAAAAGCCTAGGCCCACCTTGACTTCAACACTGCATTGACTTTGTATTCTTGGTACATTAATAGCATCTGACAAATTTCATTTATTTTTTCTTTGAGTGCGGCTGTATAATATTTAATAGCTTTCATTTACACAGCATTCCGATGTATTTTGAACAGAAGTTCACTATTGATTCGAATATTCATCTTTATATTTCCAGTGCTTCTCAAGTCTGTGGGCCATAGTTGCTCCTCAATTGTCTTCTGGATTATTTAATATGTGAATAAGGCAGACATGAATGTCCTAAGAGTGGATGTTCATTCGAAGAATGAAGAATAAACATCAAAAAGGCCTATCTTATATGATAGGGAAAAAAAATAATAGGAAGGAATTGTGGGAAATATGAGAGTATTAAAAAAAAGCAGACAGCTGAGTACTAAGGAATAACTTCTGTGATTTGCAAAATTTGCCTGAGACCTTACTTCTATGAGGAAATAAAACAAAAATCACCTTTATGACCCTAGGAGCCTAGTTTAGCTAGGTTGACATTTTACTTATTTTATTATATTAAATTTCTGTAGCTCTTCATGAAATACACACTATAAAAATTCTGCCAAAAACGAAGGAAGATGTCATTAAAATAAATAATGAAAAACACCATCTAATGCAAATTTCTGGTAGAAAATTCCTTTCCATGATACCCCCAGCTTTTGACAAATTTGGATCATACTGCAGATGTGTAATTTTGGGGGCAACAAGGTCAGTTTTCTCCCAAACAGAAACTATGTGTTTACTGCTTTCCAGATGTACAACTCCCTCTGGTTAATTCCTACAAAAATGGTTTTCATTGTTCAAAAAAAAAAAAAAAAAAATTTGAACAAGTTTCTTTGTGTCTTTATTGTTTCATTTGATAAAAGGCAGTTTATCTACGCAGCATATGGATTGCCTTGTCAAAGTACCTTGTGGCAGCCTAGCTTTCTTTAGTTCTTCTTTTTTTCTGCATTTGCTAAATTTAATATGAATGCTAGGATAATCCTTGCTAGGAAAGTGGATTATAAAGATAAAAGAAAGAAGCACTAAGTTCGTTCCCCAACCAGCTCCAAATGTGCCTTTATGCCTATAATATCCCATAAACACCAGGGCAATTGCGCCAGCTGCTCTTGACTCTCGGAGGGCATGATATTTCCTCTCATTCTGGCACCAGCCACCGCCCCAAAGGAAAGAAACTCTCACAAGCCAAAAGTAGACAGGCAGAGCTTTCGCCAGAGCTATAGATAAACTCTAGGACCTGATAGCTCTCTGCTGACAGTGAATTCCTATAAAAATAAAAAAGTAAAATATGAAAAGACACTATCTAGACATAAAAACAGGCTTTTGGATATTTTTTCATTATATTCTTCTGATATTTCAGAAGTGTGATATCCAGGACTCTTGGCAAAGATGCATTAAATGTGATTGAGGTAAAGAAAAAGATTTAACTCTCTGAATGGACTGGTTAATAGATAGATAGCTTACTCACTTCCACCAGTACGGCCCATTTCTTTTGTGTTATTACATTTTGTAGAGCTAAAAACAATGTATTGGCTTATGTTAAAGCCAGAAACATCATACAGGTACCAAAAAATATGAGGTGCACATCCTCCTTTATTTAATGGTTTTGTTTCATTCTATCAAATGGTGAGATTGGACCTTTTCTTAGTCTTAAAACAAACACAAAACAAAAATATACTCCCAAGAAAGACTGGGAAGTGCTGTCCTGAGCATCATTATACCAACACTCAAACACTGGCCACAAATTACTATGTTACTGTCTGATATTAAAAAAAAAATACCAAACAAAAACAGGAGTACATCATCCCAATCTTGATGAGATACTAGATAATGATTGCCCAAGGGGTGTCCATAAATCATGGTAATACTTCATCTTTTCCTACATATTCCATTCAACTCTTTACTAAATTCCCATCACACTCCCACCTTCTTTTACAGTGGAAAGAATGAGCATGACTATGTGCCTGTGAAGGGCAGAAAATCCTCAACCATTGAATCTCCATCCAATACAATAAGAACACATGTTTCTACCTATCAACCTCTCTAAAACAGACAGAAGAAGCTCCAGGAAAATTTTCAGGAGAAAACCTAGATTCAAATCTCAGCACTAACACTTATGAGATTTGATGCTTGTTATTTAATATTTTTTGACCTTTGTTTCTTCATCTGGAAAAGGAGTACAATACCCTCTGTCATTTCTTCCTTCGTTTTTTTTTTTTTTTTTTTTCTTGTTTTTTTTGTCTCAGTAGGGTGAGATAATGTGTGTGAAAACCTTTTGGAAATTGTTTACAGAAGTGAGATTTTCCTATTTTTGGAAGGTTCACATATGGCATATACAGCTGACACTTAGAACTTCCTATGTGCCAGATACTATTTTAAATAAGTTAAGTATTAAACTTATTTAATGCTCACAACAACCATTAGGTAGAGATGACTTTTTATCCCCATTTGACAGATCAGTAAACTGAGACACTGAGAGACCAAGTAGCTCATCCATGTTGTTAATCCTTCTGCTATTCTGAAGTTTTATGGATGCCACTGATTGAACTGGTACCATTCTTATGCTATGAGAAGAGTACACTCGTGTCTAAACTGGTTTAGCTATACCATTCTGAGGTGTAGTACAAAAGTATAGTACAAGCAAATCCTAAGATAAATTTAGAATGTAGACACCACATGGGAACAATGGAGTCTAACCATGCAGGGACAAAGGTTAATGATAGTGACCTGCTCCTGAATGGTCCATAACTGCATATGATTAGACCCTTCCATCATCATCATTTTGTTAGCATTATTATCAGAGTCCATATAGGCAACAACAGGAATAAAGCGCGCAAAGAAGAATTTGGAGAAACCTACTCTACTACATCCTATTGGTGAGAGTAGGATAAGACAAAAATGCTACTACATAAATTGTCTAAGCAGGGGAAGGCTGGAAATAGGAAGAAATAAGTGTTATTAAATTGCTCATGTAGTCTGGAAAGAGGGCTTAAAAATGCATTAGAGTCATTCTATCCATTATGTACTGTTTGATGAGAATACCGAGTCCTTAGGAGCCAACAATAAATAGTAATGGCACCAACAGCACTTTTATGGGAAAGGCAGAAATCTGGATGCATTCATGGGGTGTATTATGGGGTATATGTTTCTCTCTTGGGCTATTTTCTCTTTTTTTCTGGCTCTTTTTCTTAGAGGCTCTATTGTTGCTTTTCACTTAACAGTTAATTACAAAACACTGGTTTTCAGGATTTATGTCAGTTTCCAAAGGAACGGATGACTATTTTTGGGGGTGTGTGGTGCTTAGATACCCCATCTGTTATCTATTGCTGAATAACAAATGGCACCAAAGCTTAATGGCTTAAAAGAACAACTTTAATATCTCACAGTTTCTGTGGGTCCGGAATCTGGGTATACTTACCTGGGGACCTGTGGCTCAAGGCTTCTCACAAGATTGTAATCAAGGTGTTAGCCAGGGCTTCAGTCATTTCAAGGCTCAACTAGGGCAAGATCTGCATCCAAGTTCACTCCCATGGTTGTTGGCAAGATTTACTTCTTTGTGGGCTGTTGGGCTGAGAGCCTTAGCTCCTCGCTCGCTACCAGCTACCAGCTGCCTTCAGTTCCTTGACATATGACCTCTTCCTATTGCAGCTCCAACATGACAGCCAACTTTCCAGGAAACAGCTTGGATGTGTGGGTCTTCTAGATTAAGGCCTCCACTCATGAGATATAGAGGCAAGGTAGTTTAAGGTATTGGTAAAATAAGAGGTTAAGGTAAATACAGTGGCAGATAATGGCTGAACTCCAGTGTAAGGAAGGCTTTTGGAAACCAGAAGGTCTGGGAACTGAGAGTCCACATGTTTGGTGTCTCCTTCAGGTAAATATTGAAGTCATTATAATTGCGGGCGGTAGCTGGAGTGTACAGAAAGATTGTGAGAATCAAAGGAAAGGGTCAGAAATTTAAGACAGGGAAACAATGTAACAGGGGAAGCAAAGAGACTCCCTGATCTCATTGGGGTTCTATAATACCTGGAGTGTGAGAGATTAAGTTGCCTCTGCTTGGTGAACTGAAAGAGAAGTGGTGACCTCTAGAGAGGGCCCGGGCTTTTGGTCAAGGAGGTGGAAGGCTATATTCACTGAGTTTGTTGTGGATATAGAGGAGTTTCTTTACCATAAAGTTGTAACTCCAGAATTTCCCAAATAAGTGGCCAACTTGATAAAAAAATTATAGTAAATCTCCCTCCTTCCATGCTTTGTTCCCTCAGTAAATATGTGTATGTATCTCATATGCCCCAGTAAAGTCTCCATATACTCCTTTTAATTTTAGGCTTTGCTTTCTGGGGAATCCAATCTATGATGAAAGGAAATGGAAAACTACATTTTTATCCAAAAGGTAAATATATGTGTGTGTGCATACACATACACACACACACACACACAACACACACACACACACACACTATATATATATATATATATATATATAGTGTATATAACATGTCAGTAAGTACTAACAAATGCTTATCAAGCTAAAAAGATTTAAGATACGAATTATCCTGTTTCTAGTAATCACCACCACTACCACCATCCTCATCAGTCTCTCCTTCTGAGACCCTCAGGAAGTTAACAGTTCATACAATTTAATTCTGGGGTGCTAGCAAGTGAAGCCAAGGCCAGACTGAAGATGGAAATGAGAATGTTCATATTCACACAATCGACATTGATTCATTAAGGTGATGAAATGTTTCTTTCCCTTTAAATTTGTATGTTCTGTTCAGAAGTTCCCAACGTTACTAGAAGTCTTTTAAGGTATCTCAATATTCTCTAAATAAAAATTGGGAACATTTTTTTAGTAATGAAAATATAACAATAAGTAGATAATTTATAATCAGAGAAAAAATTGAGCTCAGAATATGTATTAGTTTCCCAGGGATGCTGTAAAAAAATTCCACAAACTGGGCTGCTTATAACAACAACAAAAAATGTCCTCTCTCACAGTTCTGGAAGGAAGGAGTCTTTTCCAAGTAAGGTCACATGCACAGGTAACAGCAGGTAGGAATTCAACATAGGCTTTTTAGGGAACGTAATTCAACTCATACCAAGTATTATCAAATAATTCTTGGGATTTCAACACCAATTTCCACAAAGCAAAGTATGTACTAAAAGAAGAGGTGAGGTAACGTAATAAACCTTGGATATTTCTTATTCAGGTATACTGCCAAATCTCATGACCTTGGAGCAGTCACTTAAAAAAAGTTATTTCCTCAACCCCAATTAAGCTGGTTCTTTTTCATGATGTTGCCCAGTTTTGAACTGTGATGTATACTCCCTTTTCAGAAAGTGTTGTACAGTTAATGACTGAATGCATATGGACGAATTTAGATTAGACATATCCTTAGCCGTGGTGATATTTTTGCTTTGCACTGCCGTTCACACTTCTAGGGTTGAAAACACTGTAGGGGGCTGAGCAACCAAGGAAAACAGAGAAAAGGAGCAATACATCAGAGTTGTTTTCCCACTTCAAATGACTTGATTCTGAGCTTTCCCACCAGCTCAAGGTCCTCAGAAGTAGAATGCTGAGCATCCAAACAACTTGCAAATGCACACTGTGAAACAATATGCAAACGCCTCCCTACCGTAAACATCACTGGGAAGAAAGAAAAGGGAGTTTTTCCATATTGCCAAGTGACTTTGTACAAAGGAAGTGTGAAAGCAAAGACATTTTTTTCCCCTGGCCTTCATCATTGCATATGTGTGCTGTCATGTAGACTGGCTCTCAGGTCCAAAATATAAGACCCTCTGAGTAGAGCTGCTAAATACACAAAGTACAAAAGGCGAGGTGCATTTAGAATCTGTTTATGTGGTCAATATTCGTTTATGTGGTCATATTAGTTTATTGTAAAATAAAAAAAGAAGCTACCACTTTTCATTATTTTTAAAATAATCTGTGAGCAATAATTCCTGAGGAAATATGAATACAGGCTTAGTTCATTTACTCTACAAAAAAAGTAAAGCCCCAATTTTGGATGTCCTCATCCTTAACCCTGTTTTTCCTCTTTAATAATAACTTTTTCCTACTTTCTTTATTAATGATTTATTTTTCTTTTTGAAATTTTGACCTAATTTCAGTGTCATGAGGCTATCCTTAGGACTTAATATGTGAGTATGTGAGTCAATTCCTGTTGTGTTTTTCTTTACCACATTTTCATCACCATAGTTTTTCTCCAGACCTCAGTTAATTCACAAATGGATCAGATGCAGGCATTTTCTCACAGGCGTCCTTAACCCCACTTCTTCCATCTCAGTCCATTTGGTCAGACAGCATTGTCACAAACTATGCAATTAAGTCATACTGAACTTTATGCTATTTCTCAACTGACTTTCTTCTTCCAGTACACAAGACAAGACTCATTCTCCCATTGGCTTTAAATCGTACCACAGTACCTCAACACTCCTCCTAATGAATTAATTATTTTTGGTTCATGCATGTTTAGCTGCAAGAACACTTACTTGTTCCTCAATGGCACTGTCAGGAACACTTTCCTCAAACAATTCCTGAACCTGAAAATGAAAATCCTTTCAAGATCATTCCTCTGTATACAACTTTGCCTGTATGATCTTAGCTTCAGTTTCTTTACTGTAAAATGAATAATTATTCCATCTATGAATTTATGTCTTTTGTGGTCTTTTAAACTTGCACAAGCTTTATTTGCTAAATGCTATTTTAAATTAATCTTATGAAAACTCAATAAGAAATTCTATTCTGTATAAAGAATATAGTGCTTCATCTCATAATTTATAATCGGCCTCAAATCTTTCAAGTAAAAAAGAATATAAAAATACATGTAATAAATAAAAATATAGACTTTTCCAAAAACAAATGTCTCGAATACCTTTGCATAAGTTCTGTGTGCTCAGTTGCCACTGGCGTGTTCTAAGGGGAAACTATTCAATTTAAATTTCAAATTAAAACAAGTCAGTGATTTTTGCTAGTAATAATTGATGAGTGATGGACTATTTTATTTTTAAAGAGCCAAAAGGAGAATAATCATCTGATTAGAGAGCATCTTGACAAGAATGTTGGTGGTAAACTGCAATGTGCAAAAAAAGAAAACCTAGACAATTAGTTTTTCTTTTCTTTTCATGGCTATGTGATAAAGATAAATCATGCAATCTTAGCCCAGAGGATACAAGGGAAAAGGTCCTGATCTTTTGGCTGATGAGGAGCTGTATAAGGCTAAAAATATAATAAATAAATTAAAATTCAATGGAGACTATACATTATTATCATAATGGTTTGAATAAATACTTAAAATACATATGCGTGATACAGAGACCTTTTCAGCAGCTAAATGCAAAATGATATTTTTACTTCAAGATAACCTAAGACTAGAAAGCCAGTCCAAAGATGAATTAGTGTTAATATAGGATTAAGGGTGATAAATATCCAATTCATACTGGGAATATGAATTAGGTCTGATTAAAGCTAATAAAAAAGAAGGAACAAAAAGTATTCAATTTCAGATATTTGCTATAAAGAGAAGAGCTCCTGCTATATAAGAATTATCTACTTAGATTGTAACATTGCTTAGGTTCAATTATTTAATTAAAATATCAACTTTCAAATAATAAAGAGTGGGTGATTTATTAATTTGCATCTCAGCTATATCTCTAATTAACTCAAGTTTTATTATTCAGATAGTGTGTTACTGACCATCCAAGATAGTAAACTTCAATTTATTCATTCATTCAAAAAATCATATTGATTCTTATGCTGTCAGAACTGAATTTTGAAAGATGAAGAAATAAATGAAATAGTTGACCCTTGAACAGCATGGGTTTGAATTGTGTGAGTCCACTAATACAACTGGGCAGGACCCTATTGGGGGGCGGTCCTTACCGGGACCCCCCCCCCCCCCCCCCCGCCACAATGTCCTCTGTCAGTCTCTTGTTTATAGAAAAGCTTTAGTTTCCCAGGTCTCCTTTGAGTCACAAAAGGCTTAAGAGTTAATAATTGGAATAATGTGAACATGTAGTAACCAAAGATAGCAGTTGGACCACGAGAACTGGTAACGATTTAAACAATAGATTAGTCATATAGTAGAGTCACAGAATCTTTAGTTCCTCCCTGAAGGACATAGAGAGTTGTTTTGCAGATACTAAAACCCCCACCAGTAGGAAGAAGATAACTGCATGATGACCATGAACACATAGCTCCCAGACTGAATAGAACCTGAGGACTGTTGATGTTAACCCCTGTAATATCACCCTGTTACTTCACTATCAACCAATCAGAGAATTGTGCATGAGCTGATTACATATCCTGCAACTCTCTTCCTCAGCTTGTCTTTAAAAATTCCCTGAAATCCATCAGGGAGCATTAGCTACCAGGACTCCTTGTTTGGCCTGGCAGTAAACTCAGTTCTTTCCTTCACCACAACCTGGAGTCAGGAGATTGCTTTGCTGTGCATGGGAGAGCAGGCCCAAGTTTGTTTTTGTAATACTAATACACAGACTTTTTTCAACAAATACCACAGTATTACAAAATCAGAGGTTGGCTGAATCTGTGGATACAGAACTACAGATACAGAGGGTCAACTATAAAGTTACACGCAGATCTTCAATTGCGCAGGGATTGGTGCCCCTAGCCCATGAATTGTTCAGGGGTCAACTGTACTTATCTATTAATGTGTATGACATTCTGGTAGCAATTACAGGGATATGTGCCCATATGAAATCTTCTAATTTATTAAATCCATGGTGTTATGGGCTGAATTGTGTTCCCCCACAAATCCATATGCTGAAACACTAACCCCCAGTACCTCAGAATGTGATTATTTGGATATGGGACCTTTAATAAGAAGTGACTAAGTTAAAATAAGGCCATTAGAGGGGGCCCTAATCCAATCCATGTGGTTGCCAGAGGGGGGATGGGATGGGTGGAGGAGAGAAATAGGTGAGGGAGAAAAGAGGGACAAACTTTCAGTTACAAAACAAATGAATCAAAGATATGAAATGTACAGTGTGGGGATATAATCAATAATTATGCAATATATTTGCATGGTGACAGATGGTAACTAGACTTATCATGGTGATCATTTTGAAATGAATAGAAATATCAAATCATTACATTGTGTAACAGGAACCAACACAGTGTTGTAGGTCAATTGTACTTCAAAATCAAGCAAAACAAACTCATAGAAAAAGAGACAAGGTATGTGGTTACCAGGGATGGAGGGTGGGGAGAGGGGAATTGGATGAAGACAGTCAAAAGGTACAAACTTCCAATTCTAAGATAAAAATAAGTACTAGGATGTAATGTACAGCATAAGAAATATAATCAATGCTGCTGTACATTATATACAAAAGTTAAGAAAGTAAATCCTAAGAGTTCTCATCACAAGGAAAAAAATATATTTTTTTCTATTTCTTTAATTTTGTATCTATATGAAGCAATGGATATTCACTAAACTTACTGTGATAATCATTAACAACATATATAAATCAAATCATTATGCTGTACACCTTAAACTTATACAGTGCTCTATGTCAATTATACCTCAATAAAACTGGAAAGAAAAAAAAGTAGTTAAAATGAAGCCATTAGAGTGGGCCCTAATCAAATCTGCCTGGTGTTCTTAGGAGAAGAGGAAATTTGGACACACAAGGGAAACCAGGGATGCATGATCACAGAGAAAAGACTGTGAGGACACGGTGAGAGGACAGCCATCTCTGCCAAGGAGAGAGGCCTCAAAAGAAACCAAACATGCTGACACCTTGACCTTGGACTTTTTGTCTCGAGAATTGTGAGAAAATTAATTTCTGTTGTTTCAGCCACCCAGTCTGTAGTGTTTTGTTATGGCAGCCCTAGAGACTAACACACATGGGTAAAACCTTAAAACACTACACAGGAGTTGCTTCAGAAACCTTTCCATTTGTAACACTGCATTGCTATGGTTTAGCTCCAGGAAATGATTGCATGGAAAGATATCTGCTCATTTACCTTTGTTTCAGCTCTTCTGGTGATCCATTATTCTACCATAAGGATACACTACCAGGGAAGGTCCTCCCACCCTGGCTTACCTCTTATCTATCTCTCTGGAAGGCAGCTATGCTCACCTCTATATCACCAACGCTGCCCTGTTCTATCTTTCTGGACACCAGTTTTCTCTCCACAAGTTTGATTCTCTAGGCATCACATAGCATCTCACTGTGCAGCCAAACTTCTATAGATATCACTTTTGAGAACTAATCTTGCTGAACTTCAAATGGCCCCAGTGAGCTACCTATCTACCAGCTGCTTTGTGTTGCCCACGGCCAGGCCTGGGGTGAGGTGGCCCTGCACTGGCATGATCCTGGGAGTGAGTGGCTCCTGAGATTTTTCCACCTCTCAACCACTGCACTCTGAATTCCAGCCCTGGTGGTGCCAGACACCTCCTGACCATTCCTTGGCCCGGGTCCTTGGCCTTCCTTCAGAGCATATACAATTTGGTTGTAGGTAAACAGGGTATATTTACAGGAGATTTATCTATCTATCTATCTATCTATCTATCTATCTATCCATCTATCCATCTATATACATATATATATGTGTGTGTATATATATATATCTATAAATATATATGCCTTGAAAATAAGTGCTAAATCAATGGTATCACTGAGTTCTTCAGGAACTTCGGACAGTTTTCCTTGCCTTGATGCTATAAAAATAGCTTCATAACTTGAGGAGCTTGAAGGATAGGATTTTAACAGTGCTTAGAAGGTGGAATCTTCAGATCAAACAATAGAGATGAATAATAAGCACCATACTATCTAATTCAAAAACTCCAGAGAAAAACCATGGGTCACAAGCCTGCCTCTGCCACCTACCAGGTGTGTAGCACAGAACAAATTACAGCCTCTCTGAACTTCTATTTCCTCGTGGGTTTATTTAGATGATTAGAAATAACCTACATAAAATGACTTACTTTGTGCCAGGCAAATGGCCTGGATTTACTAAATGGTTCTACACTTATTATCCTTGTTTCTTGATTAATGCAAATCTAACCACCATCATCTCAGCAGGCCTCATTTTAGCACTCGCATGACAGACATCAGAAATCAAAATGGACCTTAGCAATGATTTGGTCCAGTCTCCTCATTTTTTCAGAGAAAATGAATGCCCAGAGAAATTAAATGACTCGCCCCAGGTTACAGAACCAGCTGGTGGCAGTCACAGTGTCAGCCACGGAACAGGAGATTTCTTACTCAGGTTCAGAATACTCTTCATTTCAGAGTACTTCCTTAATAGCAGTACACAAACCTTCATAAACATGTATATGTCAATGTATACTAATTACGTGTAGACAGTCAATGAACTGAAATAAATGGAATAATTATTAAATCTAAGTGTTGTGTTCATGCTGCACATTTACACTCGGGACAACTCCAATGTACAAAATAATTGAAGGTTCTTGATTTTCTCTAACAAATCTAATCTTCCTCACAAGCCCTGACCCTGCCAAACAGGGACGGAGTTCATGGTGGGGATATTAACTGGCTAATTAATAGCATCATAGACTCTGGCTTGCACCTTGTTTCAGGAAACTGCTTTGTTTTACAGACTACCATCTGCAAGTCTCAAAACGGCAAGTGGCAATGTTGGGGGGCGGGGACACAAAAGGGCCTCTGCAGAAGTGGAGGGGAGACCTGGAGCTCATGGGGTGACCTCTGGGCGTCTGCATCCTCCCAGGTCTCGGCTGTATAATGGATGGTCCATCCCCAGGTTTACTGCACTATGTTCTGAGGTGCAGCGTATATTTGTGACTTGTTCTGCTGGACACTTGAGAGCTTGGTTATCCTCCCCTCCGATGTTCAGAAACATCATCCACCTGGTGCCTGATAAGGCTAGTTATGCTGAGGCTTTTGCACCATAGCCACCTTGCCTCTTGCCAGTGTAGCTACACGCTGGTCTCCTAGCTCTGGACTCAGCTACCTTCCTGCACCTTCTCTGTGGGGCATGTGGGCACTTCTAAGTCCCATGCATGCCCCAAGAAACAAAGGAAGCTCTGAGCACGGTCTCAGGTCCTCTCTCTGCTTAATGCCACCGTATCTTCACTTCTTTTCCTGTGTCGTGGCCGGCCCATGTTGCTACAAATACCACACTGTAAGGTCCCATTTTCAGAGTTCAGAAGAGAAATGGGCAAAACCCCTTCTGATTGGACTTTCCCCTCAATTAACTCCACACCTCTGATGGGGATTTCAGAAGAGCTGGTGAAAGCTTATGACACTTATGTCTCACTCTTTGCTTTTTTCTCCACCTTGATATCTTTTTTTTTCTGACTTTACTGGATAATAAGGGACTCTCATTACCCCTCCTCTTCAATCTACCCCAAACTCCTCTTCCAACATAGTTTCCTGTGCCTTTTCTGCACTTTGGATAATATTAAATATCTATGATTTGAGTCAGATAGCCTAGTTATTGATATTGGAGTCTCAGGCATCTAGGAACTAGTGTTTAATTCAGACAAATAATATTAATATCTATGTCAAAAAATTGCTTAAAACTCCAGTGATTTTTCTTTTCACTTGAGTTAAAATACACACCTCCTACCACAACTTGTAGGGCCTGGTCTCCCCCTCCCCTCCCTCTTCCAATCTCATCTCAACCCTCTCCCCCAGGGTACTGCACCCTGACCACACATATCAAATCAAGGAGGCTGATTCCCAAGGGTCCTTTTTCCTCATTTTCTTTTTCTGGATCTTGGCAGACCCAGTTTATTCTTGTCTTGTAGGTCTCAGCCTAAAAACACCTCTCCAAAGAGGAATTCCCTGGCCTGCTTATTGAACGATCTTGAAAATAACCATCCAGCCCCTCCAGCCATTAGTTTCTAGCACAGCACCTTGGTTCTATCTCTTAAAGAACTTACGACAATTTGAAACTGTTTTGTTTGTTAGTATATTTGTTCATTGTCTGTTTCTCAATAAAAAAGAAAATGCATGGACCAGAAACTGTGCTTATCTTCTTCACCATTTTATGCCTAGAACTAAATAGTGTCTAGCGTATCGTAGGTGCTCAATAAATAAGGAAAGGATGAATGAATGAATATATGTAGATGTGCTAAGAGTCATCATAAAGTTGCCATTTCCTTATGTACCTAGATTATTTATACTTCTGGGAGTATCACAAATTCCATAATTAATATAGAATGATGATACTTAAGAACTGTCAAAAATCTTGTGATGTTTTTACCTAAGGATATAGTAGTCTTCAAAAAACAACTCTAGGACATGTATTAAAAAAGAAAGAAAAAACTTTAGGACTTGACTACATATTTTAAACTAGCATCTTGTTATCTAATTATGCATTTGATTACCACAATTTGCAGTATATCCGTTCTTCATTGTACTTTCTTCTACATAAAACATCTGTTATCTCTGTTGCACAAATCTTCTGGAAATTCTCTTAATAAATGATAGTTAATAAAATGTTCTGTCTCTCATCTATATAAACACATACACATGAACACACATTTATGGCATTTTTACTAAAAAAATAAATTTATACTGAAATGGCATAAAGACTGATTATTCTATCCAGGTATATTGGCACTATAATAGAAGATAATTGCTACCTGATGCTGTTGGTATCTTGTAATGAATCACATAGAAGCAATTCTCCTTTCAGGTAAAGCTGCAGAAAAATGACTGAATAATGGCTGTTTCTTCATTATCTCCTTTTTCTACTTTTCTTCTTTTTCTAGGAAAAAAATAGAAAACATGTTATTAAAAGACCAATTATATTACTCAGTTGAAATATATATAAAGATAAACTCACAAGAAACAAGATTAATAGAATTTTGTCATTAGGCTTGCACTGTAATTTTCATTTAATTGTCCCTTATTCAGATTTAAACCTTTGTTTTTCTCCTATAGCTCAATTACCTACTTAGAAAGTCATTTTACTCTATATCAGAAACAATTATTTCTGTAGAGTTTTTCTTTTAATTAACCATTGCTTTATGTGGGTTCTAGATTTTTAGTTTGAATCCTGAAACACTAGATTTTACAAGTATTGGGTTGCATTGGAGGTTAACGATTTTAATCACTCAGTTATATTTTAACTTTTTCAGTGTTTAAACTTCTATGGTGTTTTTCTCTGCCTGTATTCTCCCTTCCCCTCTTAAAACAAAATCCCAGTTTAATCTTTGCTCTCACATGATTCAACAGAACTGAAATTTAACCAAGAAAAAAATAACAATATTGAGACAGACTTGTCCTATACTGTAACAAAATATATTCATTAAGGAAAATGTATCATCTTTGCTTTTTATTTCTAGGTGTCTTATAGCTTACTCATTTCCCACAACCTTGTTTGAAAACAGAACATGCGGATATTAAATTTTTTATTGTAAATATCACTAATTTTATTTTCTTTCCAAACCATACTGATTAAAAACAGAACTTCGTTCTTTATTCCCTTTCAAAGTATATAAACACATTTATTATATAAGTAACACATGGAGTATTAATTTCTTCACAACCTCCCATGGTCAATTTAACCATAAGATGAGTCATATTACCTATCTTCCATGAATGTATGAACTATGGTATTTATAGGCTAATTCTCTGTGTTTTATTTGTGTCTTGGTACATTTGTGAAAAATAGCTTTTACTGATTCTTTCTTCATTATTTCTTTACTTCCAGTAAAAAATTGACACAATACAAAAATAGGTAAAACTCAGAGTAGATTGCTTTGTACTTGGAAGATTTTCTTTAAAACAAGTTAAAATTCCTGAAAATACTAAAGCTCTAATGCTATATGCTATGATATTAGTAAAATTCCATATTTTATAAAAGTTTTCACATGATTGAGAAAAAATCTTAAATCGTATCAAGAACACATGAACTAATTTTGCTCACTGAGTAATTGAGACATTGACTAGTGAGGTCAGATTTACCTTTTTATTCTCAAATAATCTCTATATGGGATTGGTAAAAATCTGATTATATTTTATTCTTCTCTAATTTTTTTCCCTCCTCCTCCTCCTCTTTCTTTCTTTTATTCTTCCCATCCTTCTCTTTGTCTTCTTCCCCCCACTTTTTCTTATACTATTTACAATGAGGAAGACAGCACCTCTGTATCCTCTGACTCAGTGTTTGACGATACACCTTGACAATCACCTACACTATTACTCTTCATCACTAGAGTAAGGAGTAATTCCTGTTGGGTTACTCATTATTGCTCTAGTGCTCTGTATACAGAGTTTGTTTGTTTGCTCCATTTAGCTATGTTTTACTTACATAAAATTAATGACATATTTAAATAATTTAAATGGATTTAGTTGTATTTATGTCCCCAAATTTTGGATTTTTTATTGCTATTTTGGATGGGATCATATAAAATTGGTAAAGCAAATTTTATAAAGATAGATTACAAAAGTTGTAAATTATCATTGAAAAATTCAATTAATACAGGGGTGTATAAAGAAAAAAGAGTCAAAGTTCTTCCCTTATTATCTTTAACTTTTCTCCCAGAGGGCAATACTGAGATGTGTATGCTTCCATAAGAATTTTTATTTGAATATACATAGATGCATCCATGCAAATATAAACACAAAAATATACATTTTGAAGCAAAAACTGGGTCATAGAACACATATTGTTCTAAAACTAGATTTTTTAAATGAATAATTTTCATGGATATCTATACTCTTAAATTATTTTAAAATTAAATTCTTGGAACAAGTAATATAGGTAAAGCAAGTAATATAGACAGTATGTCAATATTATGTCAATTCATACTATTGACATTATATGCATTTTATTTTTAACTATAGAATGGAGAAGAAAAAGAAAAACAGAAACCTAAGACTATTAAACAACATTAAATTGCAATTAGGCAGTTTACTTAAAATCTAAAATCTAAGTTTTGTGACTTAGTTTCTTCACTTGACAAATATGGGATAAGGGTGGGAACATACTGGTCTAGCTGATGTCTGATAAACTGTACTAATAGCACTCCATAGTTCTGTAATAATGGGTATACAGTCAATAGCAGTAGTCATGATAGCAATAGTAGAATAAGTAAACTGTACTGTACTTTATTAAAATATCATTTATTTTTTATTGTTTTACTCTCTAACACCATATACAAAAATAAACTCAAAATGAGTTAAAGACCTAAATATAGGACACTACAGAACTCTTAGAGGAAAACACAGGCAGAACACTCTGATATATATTGCAGCAATATCTTTTTAGATCCATCTCCTAGAGTAATAGAAATAAAAGCAAAAATAAACAAATGGGACCTAATTAAACTCAAAAGTTTTTGCACAGCAAAGGAAAGCATAAACAAAACAAAAAGACAACTCACAGAATGGAAGAAAATATTTGCAAATGATGCGACTGACAAGGAATTAATCTCCAAAATTTACAAACAGCTCATGTAGCTCAATATCAAGAAAACAAACAACCCAATCAAAAAATGGGCCAAAGACCTAAATAGACATTTCTCCAAAGACATACAGATGGCCAAGAGGCACATGAAAAGATGCTCAACCTTGTTAATTATTAGAGAAATGTAAATCAAAACTACAATGAGATATCACCTCACACCAGTCAGAATGGCCATCATCAAAAAATCTACAAACAATAAATGCTGGAAAGAGTGTGGAGAAAAGGGACCCCTACTACACTGTTGGTGGGAATGTAACTGATACAGCCACTATGGAGAACAGTATGGAGGTTCCTTAAAAAACTAAGAATAGAGCTACCATATGATCCAGCAATCCCACTCCTGGGCATATATCTGGAGAAAACAATCATTTGAAAGGATACATGCACCTCAATGTTCACTGCAGTGATGCTTACAATAGCCAAGGCATGGAAGCAACCTAAATGTCCATCGACAGATGAATGGATAAAGATGAGGTACGTATCAATATATACAATGGAATATTACTCAGCCATTAAAAAGAATTAAATAATGCCATTTGCAGCAACATGAATGGACCTGAAGATTATCATACTAAGTGAAGTAAATCAGAGAAAGACAATATATCATATTATATAGCTTATATGTGGAATCTAAAACAAAAATGATACAAATGAACTTATTTACAAAACAGACTCACAAACTTAGAAAACAAATTTATGGTTACCAAAGGGAAAAGGTCGGGGGGAGGGATAAATTGGGAGTTTGGGATTGACAAAACTATATTTAAAATAGATAACCAACAAGGACAGACTGCATTGCACAGGGAACTCTGCTCAATATTCTGTAATAACCTAAACAGGAAAAGAATTTGAAAAAGAATAGATACATGCATATGTATAACTGAATCACTTTGCTGTATACCTGAAACTAACACAACACTGTAAATCAGTTGTAGCCCTATATAAAATAAAAAAATTGTAAATATATCATTTAAAATGCTGCTACCCAAGTCAGCAGTATTCTAAATAGAATTGAACTTTGTCTTTCATGTAACAGTCTAAGCTGGTACAGTGACTCTCATCATCAAAGCTGTCAGAGATCTAGGCTCCTGTTTTGTGGCTCTGCCATCCTCAACAGGCAGCTTCCATCTCATGGTCCCAGAAGGCTGTTCTGCCTCCTGTTGCCATGGCCACATTCTAGCCAGCCAGGTGAATAAAACAGGAAATGGAATGCTGGCCCCCTCCCTTTAAAAGCACTGCCCAGAAGTTGCATACACTTCTATCTACTCCATTAGCCAGAACTTTATCATATGGTCACACCTATCTTCAGGCAAAGATAGAATATGAAGTATTTCTCTGTGTTTAGCAAAAATTTCTATTGCATAAAAAAAGTTGTGGCTAGATATTGGGGACAAGTTACATTTTTCTCACATATAAACAGCTTATAAAGGATTTTAAAATGCATTATCGTATTTGATAAAGAGATACCATAAGTAACCAGTAATGGATACCTTTTAATACTCATGAAATCTATTATTTATAAAGAAAAATGATGTGTCTAAGAGGTTCTTGTATTAAATATCAGTTTATTCTCTTTCACCCTGTCAATATATCTTTGTCTCACAAATTTCCTGTGAATATTAAATGCATTATTATACGTGAAGCCTGTAAAAAATGCCTTGACTCTTGAGTGCTATCTGCAATTATTATTATTTAAAAAGAACCTATTTTTTTCTCAGTTTGTAGACAAATTCAAATGTATAGTTAGCAAATTGGTACTTTCCAGTCAAAAAGTATACATAAAAATAATTTTCTTCTAACAATGAAAAGGACAATGCCCTGATTCTATTGGTACAAAATATTGTTTATAATAGGTAAGGATAGAGAACATATATTTTGAAATGATATGTTCACATCTTCAGGGAAACAGCTTGTTTCCTTATTTAAAACCATGACCATGACTATTAATGAGCAGACAGCACAAAATAAAGGCTCAGAAGTTTTTAGAAACAGGTATGTAATTAATGTACATAAAATTTGTCTTTATAGAGAAAAAGTGCATATTAAGTAAATCTAATCAAACACAAGCACGGCTAAATTGTCTTACACTTGCCTAAGACAGGCACACACCTGCTTAACAGAAGGAATAAAATGTCTTGTCCCTAGGAAACTACTGCAGTTAATCAACATGTATAATATTTTATTTTTTAAATTTAATTTATTTATTTTTTTATACAGCAGGTTCTTATTAGTTAACTATTTTATACATATTAGTGACTATTTTATTTTTGAACATTTCTTTTATCCAAATCCAGAGCAGCACCTAATTAGAATATAGAACATAGTGATACCATAGACTATTACATTTGAAATGGTTACGTCTGATCCTTATCTCAACTTTTATGTTCATATAGCTGCTTAATAATGTAGATCTTTAATAAATATATTTAAATTTTATTCTGAAATAATACTTTATGTAATGGACTAAATAAAGCCAATAATTCCCCAAAGAAAATTGTATAGTGTAAAATAGAATGAAGGTCAGTTCACTTATCTATATGTTTTACTTTAAATTATACATATGAATTTTTACAAATCCCTGATGTTACAGGTCTAAAAGTCTCATGTGTTCTGTGCATTAATGAGTGTAAATTGTTTTCATCTCAAACTAATGGGAATTAAAACCTTAATAATGTTTCCATCAATACATCACACTTTTC